AAGCAAGGCACTCGTCCTATGAGTTTACAAAGTTTGCAACATCTTTGCCTAAAGCGGTACTCTTAACATTGCTAATGATTTGGTATGTAGCATTTTTTGGTTTCTGGAAGGCTTCAGATGGCCTTGGGTAGGCAATGATCATGGTCTGACTTAAACAATGTTATTAATTTAAGAAAAAACAAAACAAAACAAAACTATAGCTAGTTGCACTCTAATAGATTGACAGGTAGGGCAAGCAGCCAGACCTTTGGAAATACATATAGTTGAATGTAAAGTGCCTCTGCCACAGCTGAGCTGGTAGTATATCAACCATGGACACAGCTAGATGCAGTCACTGTGAGATCATCAGTTCTATTCCAGGTGTTCAGTGTACAAGTACTGACAATGGGATACAGATCAGCAATCAGTCAAGAGTATATTCTAACTATACTCTGTCTATATATGGGATAATTTTTGGCAGATTAGTCCTAAATTTACCTAATTCATTGTAATAAGCTGTGATAAGGGTTGACCTACTAAAGTGCTTTTTTATTTAGTTGAGGAAATCTGAACTTGGATTTATACTTAAATTATCCAATCACATGCAAAGTAAATGTATATTTAATTCAATTACTCTGAACATGATTGAGTATTTAAAGTGAACATAGTTTTTTAAGTGAAAACAGTATTCCTTTAGTAAATAAACCCCTTTAAATCGCTGATACTCTAGGGCTGATCATGGATGCTGACAGATGTATTTGCAACTGGACAAATTATATCTATATAGAGAAAGCTGCTGACTGTGGAAAAAGTCACAGTTACTCAGGAATCCGGTGGCACTAAATATATACATTAATATATATATGTAAAGTTTTAGGTGTTTCATCTGTGCCCAACACAACAAGGATAATTTTTTTGTCTTTTTTTTGGGTGGGAGGGAGCAACATCGCCATGGAGAATTGATGAGCTGGACCTTGATCATATAAGGCCATCTGGTCCCTCTGCCATTGAGTCCATCAGTCCCAAGGGTGCTACGCAGCACCTCTGACCCTGAAGGGGTTAATTATAATATTTATGAAAAAGAGTTATATTTCTCAAAGGTCAGGAGTCATGGGTCAGGAGTCAGGGGAAGGTCGCTGAGTGCCTTTGGCAGACGAAGGCCGTGCAAGGAAAAAAAATCTTTGGTATTCTTTGGTATCATCAATGTGATTAAAATCACGAAATGGAAATTGAGTGAGGTAGCATCTTTGGTTCACGCTATAAATAGTCGATCTTTACACTTTTATTTTTTGTTTTTTGTTTTTTTTACACCTGGAAGCAGCTATTTCTTTGCTTCTTTGTCGTTTTAGGAAATTGTTACCAAATGTATTGTAAAGCTAACCACACCACAATAAACCAAAAGGTCAGCACAATGAAATTCAACTGACCTCTTTAATAGGAAATTGAATGCACCACAAACTCTGATTAGGCAACACAGCCAAAGTACTTTCTCTTTGTTTGCTAAATGCATAGGTTTTTTTTCTGTATTTTGTCTTTACTTCAATCTGTAGTAAATAAACAACAACAACAACAAAAATTTAAAAAAAAACCCTACTGTTTAACTGCCTTTCCAGCTCTGGGGAGTGGACATGTCCTAAGACTCTTTGGTATAGAAAGGGTTGCAGTTTAAAACAGCAGGTATAACATAAAATAAATAAAAAGGCCCCCTCCTAAACCTTATGAGGATTAATTCACATCCTTGAAACTGATGTATAAAATTGTTGCAAAAGTTTTTCTGTCTAATGTCTAAAATATATAAATTAAATCCAAGCAGACCTTGCACCCATTCATGTATCAAATCATAACCATTAAAAGGCATGTCCTGAGGTCTAAACACTACAATACTAGGACAATGAACATTTAACTTGTTCTGTGTTCTTATTGTAAGGTATTAGACTGGCAATTTATGCGGTGATACCATGTAACTGGGTACATGTTCTAATAATATGGTTTTATATAACAATGGTTTTATTTTCATGTGTAACTTGCAGGGAGCAAATTGTGACAAATATTTGGTACTATGGATTAGTTATCCAGTTGTGCATTGCTTAAAGCATTATCAGAAATGTTGAGTATGCCAACCAGTAGAACATCACTGCTACTTGAATAGGACTCTTTGGTTAATTGCAATAAGTTGACCGGTTGCATCTCAAAACACTTCAGATAGAAACAAAGCCATTGTAAGAAAACTGCATGAAGTATTAAAGTGTGGGATTTCTAAATGTAAAATATAGCATGTTTTTTATTCATATATGTGCAATTCTAGCTATTTTTGTAATAGAATAAAATACAAAATGTCAGCTCGTAAAATTAAAGTAATAATCCAAATGTACTTAAGCGTAACCTTTGAATGGGAGTGCACAGATTGGTACCATGTCATTGAACTATTCTTCCAGATCAGCAATATGTTCTTGTATTGGATGTTAAAATAAATAACATAAATGACATATAGAATTTGAATTTAAGAAAGCATTTAGAGTATCTAGATTTTCAAACAAGGCTACTAAAAAAATGCAGCTCATTCCATTTGTTTCTTAAAGAGAATCAGCCACACAGAAAAGTTCGCATCTGAAAGACCTCTGATTTAAGCTGACATGTCATAGTTTGCTGAATTGTAAGTCCAGGGCAATGATGTAATTTAGACTTTTAGTTTTTTTTTCCCCCTAGTACTAATACCTGCCCAGAGACAGGGAACAGAACATTCCATCAGAGGTCTCTCACACAGGTATTTTCTTTATGTGTGATTCATTTTAATCTTTCCTCAGTGAAAATTCATCAGTTTATATACAACCTACAAATGTGTTGCTGTTGTAAGCAGTAATTCCCTAAAAAAAGTAATGTGTACTCCTTATAAATCTGTTTTTATTTGCATGTAGTATTGTGATGTGTCACCTGCACTCCTTACAGTGATTGGACCTTGATTAATGGTCGCGGTGCTCGTAGTGATGCACGGATGGCGCCATGTTTTCCAAGACGGAGATCACCAGCACTTAGTCAAAAGCATTGTATTCTTTTGCTTATTTATTGAAGAAACATGTTACAAGTGTCATTTTACCAGCGTTTTGGGGCCACGCAGTCACCCTGAAGAAGGGACCCTGTGTGGCCCCGAAACGTTGACAAAATGTCGCTTGTGACATGTTTCTTCAATAAATCAGCAAAATAATCCAATACTTTTGACTGAGTGCTGCCGATCTCCGTCTATGTTTTTATTTGCTTCAAGCGACCTATCAGTTTAAGTAAATATTTTGTTTTTTTATTTCCCTTTAAAGCAAACATGTCACCAATGAAAACAAGCTGACGTACAGCAAACACTTAAAAGCAGGCACCTAAAGGTGCCTATGTCTACCACCAGCTTTAAGATTGGAGATTTGCCTCCCTAACCACATACCTCAATGCAGTTTTCTGAGTCTTTTTAGACAATAGGAATGCTCACATTGCAGTTCCAGAGCTCTGACTTTCAAAGCTGAAAGTCATTCAACAAGATTCGCAGAGCATTATGGCCATTAGATGGAGTTGAGCACAGTAATTTCATATCCTTCTAGGCTCCATATATTAATATTATTATTACTGGTATTTATATAGCGCTGACAATTTACGCAGCGCTTTACATAGTTGCACATTCACATCAGTCCCTGCCCTAAAGGAGCTTACAATCTAAGGTCCCTATCTCACATGCATACATCCAAGGGCCAATTTAGACAGGAGCCAATTAACCTATCAGCATGTCTTTGGAGTGTGGGAGGAAACCGGAGTACCCGGGATGAAACCTAGGCAAGCACAGGGAGAACATACAAACTCCTTGCAGATAGTGACCTGGCCTGGATCATCTAGTGGCCATAATGCACTGGGAATCTCGTTCACAAAGCTGTTCCCTGTTTAAAGGGGATGCTTTTTCATTATTTTTTTTGAGAGTATAACCTATTTTCTTTAGTGACAGGTATCCTTTAACTTGACTGATAGTTCAAATCTATTAAGGTGTACATAGTAGGAATAAAATGTACTGCCTTTAGTAATGCAGACCAATGTATATGTCCAGCTGGAAGAAAAATCCTCTGGCTATTAGCTTGCTTGCTGTATGTGTGAACAGAGGTCACAAACGCATAAGGTACTTGTGCTCAGTTCAATCAGATCGCATCCTTCAAATATCTAAGACAGTGAAAGAAATCCCTAACATTATGTCTCCTTACAAATAACAGTCCTGGTTATAATGAATGTTTGTGAATTTCATTTTTTTCTAGTAAGAAATTAGAATAGTTTATAGCTACACTTCTTCATACAACGGTATGTAAAAATATCACTGGAATATTAAAATCACTGCAATAAAACACCTGAACTACTATACTAAATGTGTTCTTTGGTATGTTGCACTTGTGGGAGAGGTCATGTTTCTATTTGTCTGGACAACTCTTAACAAACAAAGAGAATGCACAGGTCTAGGTGCCATTCACCCATTTGAACGCCAACAGCAAACCTAAACCGCTAGGTTCAAATGACACAGCTACACTCAGTTCCAATAAACTCAAGACGACTTGTTAGGTCAAACTGTATCCCAACCTGCAGACAAGTTATGACCGAGTTCCTTACCACTGGACTGTAAGTACAGATACACCGTACACCTTCGTGTTTAAATGTGCAGTGGCAATGACTACCCATATCAAAAAATGTCCGTTCAATGACAAGAGATCACGATGCTCCAAACCACCAGACATCAAAGTACTGTGAAGATGATGATGATGGCTGAAGGTGTAAGGCCAGTGGAACTTGTCTTATTATTTTGCTTTTTTGCAAGTCGCTCTCCTGAAAAATGCGCTAAGAAGAAAAGTTCACAGGAGAAATTAGTCTTTGGTTTCTTTGGACTTATAAATAATTTTGGTTTGAAATAGTTCTTAAAGTATAAACCTGCTAATTGGAGGTCCTTTTTCATTGTATTAAAGCTTTTCCACCGAGGTCGTAGTTTTTTATTTTTTTATTTTGTTTTTCCTTCATGCTTTGGTACAAGTGCTTGATGAAGATGATGTATTTCCCGAGCTGCCTTCATCTTGCCACTTATCTAGACTCCTCCTGCGAGCATTCATGAAGAAGTTGCTGACTGTGCTGAGTTCCAAGCCAAGCTGCTGGGAAATGGTGATCTGTAACTCTTTGGACGGACGCTTGTTTTCTTTGAATATTGCATGAAGAGTCCTTCGTTGGACATCTGTGAAGACCAACCTTGGCTTTTTTGGTGTATTCCCTCTGTCTTTGCCATGATCTTGTTCTTTTCGTTTACATGCTAAAAGAAAGAGAGCATATGTTACAAACAGTATAGATATATTACATTCATCAACTGTAAAACACAAAAAAATTTTGATAGAGGTTAAGGCATGTTATTATAGTATGGTAATGGTGACTCAACATGTTTTGCTAGCTAGTAGTGAATATAATATTGTTTCTTTTAAAACATTCCTTATGATAAGTTCAAAGAATACATAGCATAGCATGCTCATGAATAAATAAATATAAAGCTTTTAATTAAACTACTGTAAATAGAACTATAGTATCTACAGGTAGTGGGTAGTGAAACCCAGGCACGACATAATGTCTTCAGTCTTTATAAATGCCATTGTGTCATGCCTGGGTAAGAAGTATACAATTTTCATGTTGCAAAGTGAATGGTCACTTAGCTAATAAATAAGTTAAAGCTATTTTCTCTTTATGTACCTAATCATGTGCCAGGTAAATTATAGATCATTAAAGTGATTGCAGCTACACCTTAATTATTAAACCAAGTAAACAGTTATTCATTCTGCAAACTGAACTCCTGTATTACCTTAGTAAATATACCCTAATAAAACGGAAGTACAGCTGGATGGGGCAAGGTTGCTGCATGTATGAGTAACCAAAGGCATTAGATGGTAGTAAGTCTGTTTTCAACTTATTCTCAGTTATACATGCACCCTCCAAATATGCATAGGCTATGATTCATACTGATGTGGAACCAATTCAAAATTTCAACCTGGACAGTGTACAGTATGTCTCATGGTAGAATATCGGGTTATATATTGTGTTTTTTCTTATCAGACTGTTGCTTGAATGTGTCAAAATGTAAGGCTTTAGAATATGGCCATATCATTTATATGGACAACATGGAATTCCATTGTTATGTCTATACCATTGACATAACACTCAATGGCATAGACCATAGAGGATACAGATGACTGGGGTGAATTCATCAATGCTTGCCACGCAAAATGGGAAATAGAAAATAAATACAGGTTTCCCTTAGCCTGAGTGAGTTTTTCTCCTGGACAGATACTCCCTGTACAGTGTGCAGTGACGTCCAATGGAATATATATATATATATATATGTATCTTTACAAAGTTTGCATAATATAAGGGTGATGTTTTGATTGCATTTGGATGCTCACAGCTCAGGGAGATATGATGCAATTAACCATTATTCCTGATGTTCCTAAAATCAGCAAAGCCTTTTACCTGAATAAATTGACTTAAACACACATATGTTGCATGCATAAAGAGTATATATCCATATTATACGGAATATAAATGCAGAGTATTAGGCCTGAGAAAGGAATGAGAAAGGAAAAAAAATTCTGTAACATAGCAAACTATACTTGGAGCAAAGTCAACTCTGATAGCTATGCATAATGTTCCATTACACTTTTATCTATTGTTTAAGTAAGATTAATTAGCTAATAAGCACATAGTGACCTATCTCTTCTGTGATAAGAAGGCGCCTCTTAGATTATGTCGCTGGTAGCAGTTGGGTACAAGAGCTACCTATTATCAGAGCGGTGTCTGTGACTATAGTACCGTATACCATAAGATATAGTTAGCTCACGATATGTCAGGCTTCTTAAAGTCTGTAAGTCTGCAAACTTATCTTTAATAATAATCAATGCCACCAATCAATAGACAAATCTGTATATAATAACAGGTGAACAATTTATTCTTAATTTGACCTAGTATCTGCATAGTCATTAGCAGACCCACTAAGAGTAAGGGTTTGTTTTTTTTATCTCTAGAGTACAAAGTTCAAATGTTTACAAAATTCCTTTTAATGCTACAGCCCTGAGTTATTTCTAGCTCGGTTAATTGCCCGACACTTAGCCTAATGAGTTCTCATATGAGGAGTGCTGAGTGCAATAGCTGTTTATATCTGCAATGAAACAATTTGCATATAAACCACTGTGACATTATCAGAGAATGATAGTTATCCTTTGGACAGCTCTATATGCATTGCCTTGCTCTGGGCTGATTTCCTGTTTCTCTTATATGCAATCTGCTGCATGTGCCAAGACCTGAACCTTACTGATTGCTTCCTCTCCTGCCGGGCCAGCAGCTTGGTACATATACAGTGTATGGCGCCGTCTGCTTACTTTCCTATTGATTTTTTTCTTGCAACTTACTTTCAGCTTGCACATTACACAACTCTAAAACCAACCTGCTCACCTAAAAACCATAATGAGACAATAGAATAAATGTCAACAGATATCCAGGCTAGTAACATCAGTAGATATACAGTCCAAAGCTGACTCGGCCTTAGTGTCTACAAGCTGATGATGGGATGAAGGGCAGAAAACATGAATTATACATCCTGTATAAGTGAAATCTCTGCAATTGTTTTCAAATTCATGAACAGAAAGTTAACCCTGGATATGCAACCACATAAATGTGCACTTCACTTTTCACCCTAATGTTGGCTATAGACATTACTCATTGGCTGGACATTAAGAGGTGTACCGACCATTAAAAGGCAGACAAATATAGATACTTTATAGAACTTTTAAAGTGACACTAAACTCAAGAATGAAATCTTAAAAATGCATTCAAGTAATTAACAAAAATGTATCTTATTTGTGTATCACTCGGCTGTAGATTCTCAAATCATTTCTGAATTGGTGCTGACACTGTCCTTCCTTCTGGAGGGTGGCTACTTATGTTCCCCATGGTCCCTGTGTGTGTTGTAAAGTATTCAGCGCTCCAAGCTCACTCCTGTGATGGACTACAATCTCACTACTAATTAGTAAACTAAACAGGAGATTGTAGTCCATCACAGGAGCGAGCTTGAAGTGGTAGCTATTGTACAACACACATGGGGATCATGGGGAACAAAAGTAGCCACCCTCCAGAAGGAAGGACAGTGTAATTGTATTTAAACTTTTATAATAATGCAGTCCGAAGCGAAGCAGCTATGTGCAAATAGCAGACATCCATAGTAACCAATCAGGTTTCAGGTTAATACCATCAAATTAGTAAACTGGTGTTTGATTGGGTGCTATGCATTATTGGCTTGTGTACATTACTATTTGCCTTTTTAACTAATCTCACTTAGGTTCTGTAATTACAATAAAACTAGCTATAGACGCCAGATGGTCAGATGTGTACAAACCTAAAGCCTCATGATGTCTACTGCAAAGCTCAGCTCTAAATAGGAACACCAGTGGTGCATGATCATTTCTGTGTAGACTATGGGTTAAAAAAAATTCTGAATGCTTTCCAAAAACAGTAAGTTTTAGTTTCAGAGCCACACACAAATTACCATATATATGTAACATAACAACCAAGACATTCCATTCCACATAGACCCTGATGTGACACTTTTGCTGTAAGATTTTCCTGATTGAATATATTAAATATGAAATCTTACTTTTTATGACCAGCAAACAAGTTTGAGAAAAAGCGTTGGGTGGAGCTCCATGGGCTCTATGACTACATACAAAGAGGGGAATTTATTAAAATTGGAGCAGATAGAATCCGGAACAGTTGCCCCTGGCAAACAATCAGCTTCTCTCTTTTATTTTCAAATCTTATCTGAACAAGCTGAAGAGAGAAGCTGATTGGTTACCATGAGCAACTGCTCCATATTCTGTCCCTCCAAAGTGTTCTGTCCTGCTTTCTGGCCATATTTCCATGCCATTTTTATACCTTCAGTTCCAAAGGATATAACTTGACTTGTAGGGGGTCACTGTTTTGTTTAAAACTCCGCATGTATCAATTTAGTTAAGGATATGAAGAATCATCCTCTTTGTTTGACACTAGTAATTGGAGGGTAATCACTAAGCCTGTATCTTAATTCACCATCCATGAATTTAGAGAAACTTTAATTGAAACAGCTAAATTACCTTAGTGAACAATTCTGTGACTTCATCAATATTTTGATTACATTTGGCATTCTATCTGCCTATTCTACGACATGTTGGCCTGTCCACCAATAGGCTGTGCTGTTGTGCTGTGTCTGAGCTTCAAGGTTTATTGCAAGTGCTAAGTTCAATTCATCTATCTATCTATCTATCTATCTATCTATCTATCTATCTATCTATCTATCTTACCATGATCTATCTATCTATCTATCTATCTATCTATCTATCTATCTATTTATCCATCTATCTATCTTTCTTACCATGATCTAACTATTTATTATCTATCCATGATCTATCTATCTATCTATCTATCTATCTATCTATCCATTATCTATCTATCTATCTATCTATCTATCTATCCATGATCTATCTATCTATCTATCTATCTATCTATCTATCTATCTATCTATCTATCTTACCATGATCTATCTATCTATCTATCTATCTATCTATCTATTTATCCATCTATCTATCTTTCTTACCATGATCTAACTATTTATTATCTATCCATGATCTATCTATCTATCTATCTATCTATCTATCTATCTATCTATCTATCTATCTTACCTTGATCTATCTATCTATCTATCTATCTATCTATCTATCTATCTTTCTTACCATGATCTAACTATTTATTATCTATCCATGATCTATCTATCTATCTATCTATCTATCTATCTATCCATTATCTATCTATCTATCTATCTATCTATCTATCCATGATCTATCTATCTATCTATCTATCTATCTATCTATCTATCTATCCATGATCTATCTATCTATCCATGATCTATCTATCTATCTATTTATCTATCAATAATATTCCAGCTGATTCCTTCTGAATTGGCAGAAATTTGGGCCATGAGTGTCCCTGTCAGTGTCACCTGGCTCAAAATACTTTGATTAGATAAATCAAAGTGTTGGCTGAGCAGTGACTGCATCCAATCAGATGCAGTCACTGTTGAGTTATTCAGAGCGCCACAGCTGCCGGCTGTCTGCATACTGTAGCTGGTAGGTGGAGATTCCCCCATCTATGCTGATTAGCATGGAGGGGGAATCAAGTGATTTTTTTTCCGTGAGAGAATAACCACCTAATTGGATTAAAAGGTAGTTATGTCTAAAGTCTACCTTCAGTTCTAGTTAGTATGCACTGAATCCTGCTTGGCCCCACCCACAGCTCTGCTCGCTGCAATTGTAATGTGCAGCACATTGATGATACCACTGCTACTTACTATGGTGCTATCTTGGTTTACAAGGGTGCTTGCTGCACACAAGTTGATTTATTTCCTCTGTGGCTATTGAGGAATATATTTATATGAAAGTTTTTGTGCCTGAAGTGCAGCTGTAGATACTCAGAAGAAGGTACCCCCCCCCCCCCATCAGGTTTCCTTTAAAGGCAAACTAGAGTGTCCCGTATATTCACTTAACACACTTGTTGAGTTAGTATTATGTTTACCTGAGCATACTATTTATTGTGACTTTAGTTTTTTTTATTGCTGGCTGTTTTCTATTTTCATAAGTGTATTTCACACACAGATCTCTAGATTCTACCACTTGTGGCTGCTTGTATATTAGGTTTTGCAGTCAGCATCCCTGCAAAACAACTGCTAATCAGAAATAGGTTTTCAGATAGGCCACATTGGCGCTGATTCATTACAACCTGCTAAAAAGAAAATCAAATAATTTCTAACCTAAATCATCCTACTGGCAAAAACACCACTTCTGTCCTCATTGTATGTCCTCCGGTCTTAAAGCAGAACTCCAGGTAAAAATTGTATTAACCCTTGCAGTAGGGCTACCCCAGCACTGCAAGGGTTACGTGCTCCTTTTTGCCTAGGGTCAAAAATTCAAATAATAAAGTTATACTCCCCCAATTCTCCAAGCTGGCTTGCTGTTAAACCGGTCCCTGGAGCCTATCTTCCCCTCGACTGCAGCAGTCTAAGGTCCCTGAGATATCACGTTCTATACACTGTATATAAGGCTTGAGGACACCAAGGAACATACCATCGCTGGAGCATAGCTGGCTGGCTCGGCTGATCAGGGAAGTATATCTTTGTTATTTGTGACCCCTGGCAAAAAATGAGGGGGTAGCCCCACTGATATGGTTAATACAAATTTTTACCCAGAGTTCTTTAATAAACTAGCTAACTAGTTTATTGTTTTTTTTACCAGTCTGGGCAGAGAGGAACACGAAAGAAAAACCTTTTGTGTTAATACATACAAAGATTATAGGCTTGCAATCACTTTACAGTTTTTGGAAAACTTACTTCTCAATAATCTCAATATAGTAATGTGTACTACTGGACTCTTGTTTGGACAGATTTAGGTGAGTTATTCCTAAGATTTACTAAGAATTGCAGGCCTACAATACATAACACCAAATTTCCATGCAAAAAATCGTACCGCTTTTGGTACAAAATTCCTGACATAATCATACCGCCAGGGAGGTTGTAAAAGTACACAACAGGCCAAGAGAAGGCTCATCATATATAAGACATCTCAGCTGTCCTCTTCTTATAAACTCCCAATGTCAGACCCTTATAGATTTCTATACTGACTAGACAGAGATTGGGCTATTGTGATTCTCCTAATTCTGATCATAATCAAGAGAACCAGACTTCTCTTTTTCATGTTTCTACTATATGATAAAGTGCTGTAAGGAATTCACAGAATTCTTTTTTACATATTTTTATTTGTGAGACCCTTTCATCTATGTCCTCCATTGAACCAGAACTGAAGGCGGTTGTAATGCCACACATGTATATTTCCTTTAAAATCTTTACCAGACCTGGTTTACATAGCAATCTGAATGATATGCTCACCAACATATCAATTTTTTACATTTTATGTTAGTATGTATTGTCTGCTGTGCACATGTGTAATAATAAACATAGCTTACTATAACCATTACAGAATTTGGATGCATATCATTGCTACCCTGGGAGATATACAGTATACCCATCTTAATTATGCTGCTGATAATAATGATATTCAATGTATTAATTTCCCCTTTTGGCTTTGTGAATTAATTATTTCTTCTTTTCTGTAAAGGACCCCATATATGTTCCAATTAGGGTTAGCCTTGAACTGCCCTTGCTATTGTCTCAATCATAGCCTGGAATTTTATCCATAACTGTGGATGGAAAAATCTGTTACAGGTCAAGGTGAATTAGATCAGCTAGTCTTATCTAAACCAATGAGCAAATCAGTATATTAGCAAATTTATAAAACTTCCTGTTCTTATACTGAGACTCAAATATATATCTATTGATATAAAGTATATGTGGTTCATAGAGATCTTGGCAACAAACACAATAAAGCTTTGGATGGAAACAATTATCTTCTGAAAGTGTAAAGACCCGAGGGACTGTTATTATATAACATAATATTATTAAATTCCTATCCGTTGTGGAGAAAGAAAAGTAAATCAAAAGAAAGACAGGTTTTCTCCTGAAGAAATGTAGTATGTATACTCACACAAGTGATTAGACTGGGTGCTTTGTGATGGATAGCCGATTTTAACCAGGGAGTCTGCAGGCAACTGTCCAGAGTGCTGAAATACCGGATCGGCTGGTACCAAAGCTAGTTTAGTAAAGACATTAGATAATTTCAATGACAGTAGACTCCACCTCATTACAACAAATCAGTTCATTTCATTTTAGTTATCAAAAATAATTAATGCAAACAATATCCATACATCTAGAAATGTGCAGTGATGAATTAAAAAATAAAGCATGCGTCTGTATTTAGTGGAAGGTGATGAGAGGAAGACAACGATGAGAAGAAGAAATGCTTAATCTGTTCTTTTTTTTCAGGTTGAAATATAGGTGAAGGCAGAGGTGTGAAATCATTGCATCGGGAAACAAACGATGTAGCATTGAATAGGCCCATTTATTAAAGCTGAAGCAAACTAAACATGAACTGTTACCTGTAGTGACCAGTCAGATTTCAGCTGCCATTTTTCTAGGGTAGGTTGCAATATGAAAATATATGACTGGTTGATATAAGTGACAGCCATATTCTTCTATGCTTCAGGTTTTATAAATCAGCCTTAAAGGGTCAGACTACTCACAATTGATATTTCAGTTTGGGATAGATGCCAGTGGGTTAAATCATCAAGCAGCTTCACATTTATCTCTTGCATACTTTGGCAGAGAGATCTCTACAGCAGAAATCACAGCAAGACCTACTGCTATGGCCATTGCTGGAGGGACTTCACTCTTCCTGTGGATTTATTCATTGTTGTTACATTAAGAAGATTGAGACTTCTCTCGCTGCAACAGGAGAAGTGAGACTACAAGGCAGGTGGGGGCAGAGCTTTGGTTTCCAGCAGGGAGATCTCATCAGTGAAATCCCTTTAGGATATTGGAAGACAGTGGGGCAATTTCATTCACTAGAATTAATTCACAAGTAATCTTATCAGTATTAGCAGCACTGACCCTTAAGTGGGGTTTATTCACAAAAATTGCTACTGAACCAAATGTTTTCCTCTTACATCCTTTCATAAAACTATCACTGATTGGTTGTCATGGGAAACACCTCCATGTTTTCTACCAACAAAGCACCACTGTAGCTCCAGCCATGGCTATAATGCATATGGGATTACTGAGATGGAATGAGTAAAAAATGATATTTGGCATAAATGCTAATATAAAACATAAAAAAACCCGCCCTGCGTGCTAATAAAAAACACAGCTCTGAATTATTATGGCCAGTAAATTATCTTTGTTATACAAATGGTAATTTCAATTTAGTTACGTAATGATTTATAAGCAGAGTCTCATTCAGCACATGCACATTACAAAAATGTGCAACGCAAGCTGACTGCAGTAAATCATTCTCAAGTGTGAACATCAGCTATTGAGATGAAATGGCGGATTATATTTTAGCATGGGGTAATACAAATTCACTTGATAGCTATATTCAAAGTGGCGGCCGTGGTCAAAGAGAACATTTCAGACATGTCCCTCCATTGATTCATTGCTCTAATAGTGCGCAAAACTCACTTGGCAATAACTACTGCAATACTTCTCATACAGTATATTACGCTCTCTGAATACAAATTGCACTTCTGTCTCTCTTCTCCAAGAGTGATTAGAAGATCCAACATGACATTTCAGTTGAAGAGCTAAAGCAGCATTTCTCAACCTTTTTTCAGCCACAGTACCCTTTAAAAGTAGGCAAAATCTCAAGTCACCCCACTCCAAAATGTAATGGATTTGAAGGGGACAACCTCACACAAAAACACAAACAAATAGGGGCCCTCCCTTTACATCAAAGCCCCCCCCCCCTAAAATCAATAAACTGCATTCAGAGCCCTTTTTACATCATAGTCCCCCCGTCACATCAGAATCCTACCACCACATCAGGAGCCGCAGCAGCATGGTAGAGGGCGAGATGGAAAATTTCGAGGCATCCCTGAGGAAGCCAGAGGGCACCCCAGGGTTGAGAGAGACTGTGCTAGAGGTTGCATTGTGTTAGCTTTATTTTTGGGACCTACATAAAAAAATTTAAACTGGAATCTAGTTGGTTGCCACAAGCACATCATCCCATTATATATTATACAGTGTAGCTAATATTTTAATTCAAAGTATTTGTTTCATTTGTAATGCACTACTAGTTCAATTATTAACTACCTACCTAAAAGAATGACTACACTTATAAGCAAAGTCACAGCTACTCAGCAGCACAAGCCTCATTTAAATTACATGTTATAAATAATTGCCATGGAATGCTCTGCAAGAAGCCACAAGTCTACGCTGACTGCTGTGTTGTATCCTCTCGCTGGCTGGTTGTATTGAGTGCACTTATTTTGCACCTTCTGCAGGTCTGTTTAGGAACGTGGTCCCCTATGAAATGGTGTTTGAAAATATCTCCTACTGCTGTATCTCATTTAGATGAACATTAACCCAGAGCAAATGTAGCAATGCATTAGCTGGTTATAAATCAATCAGTCTACAAGGACACTGACAACATACCAGCCCGCAGGTGGAGGACTTTCTCAGCCACAGATTCCCTATCTGTCCCCTTATCTTTGGCACAATATCAGTGAGGCTACTCTTCTGTAAACCAAGAATAGCATTGCTCTTCTGTCTAAGTACACAGTGGAGTAAATCTGCTAATGTGCGGCATATCCACAGGGTAATTTGGTGTGAAAATCGAGCCAAGAGCACAGTGAAAACAAGCACTTCTCAATGTGGCTGTACAATGCAAAGCTCTTCAGATGTGCTGGAAAAACGGCCTGACCATTTAGCAATATCCATGCTGTCCATAGGGAAAGGGAATTAGGCTTTGTATGCTATATCCATATGGGACGACTTCTCACCACTCAGTTTTGTAGGTCTCATATATCTAAGAACTACCACTTTATGGCGGACATCACATGATGTACAAGAAAAACCTCCTCCCTTTCAATGTCACTCAGTATCACACCTATTGTATTGAGCTCATTTGATCTGAGTTGATCAATAAAGACCCTGCAAAGGACAAAGCAAATACTATTACTGTCTCTGTGTCCTGTTTACACCAAAGCATTTTTTGCAGTCCAGTGCATTGCACAAAAACACTTCACGCTGCATGTCGGTGCCTGCTGTACTATAGAATTACCAGGAAGTAAAAAATTGATAGAAGAAAAAAGTACTGCAATGCATTTTAGTGCGCAGCAACGGGTGTTCATACAACACACCGCCACACATGCGTTTTGTGCACAATAACGTGCGCTGTGCGGTGAATGAGCCCTCATACTTACCATATTATCACTGATATTTCATGTCTATGGATCAGAAAACCAACTAAAACACATGATCAGATCCAATTCTCTATCAAAATTATCACCAAAATATCCCTCAGGTTAGAGATCCTGGAACCATACAAAATGAGCAATAGGCTGACTTCAATAAATCCATTACTGCTATGAATACTGACCCTAGTATGCTAGAAAAGAACCTGCCAGGTTTTATCTATGGAAGCTGCCATTGCTCACTTGGTTTTGAAGGAGTAGCTTTAGGGCCAACATCCATGTAATTTCTTTACTGCCTAGGGGCTTACTGACCTGGAACAAGCATGTATATAGCAAGTGTCGGGACACCTAAAATGTACATTCTGGGTCAGTGAATCACTAAGTAGTGAAGAAGGATGAGGATGGTGGCTCTGGAATGTAAGTCTTCAAAATGTGATTGCTCCCATATTTCTGTCCTGCAGATCCTCTTTATAGCTGGCTGTGCACTTGTCTTATCTACCAAAGTCTGTTTTGTGAACATGATGCATGAACATACTCTTTATAGACCATGTATATTATTGTGCTGTCTGGACACCCCTAATGCCAGCATCCTTCTTTGGAGCAATAGCAATTGTCTGGGAAAATCCTTCCTCTTTTATGAATGTGTATCACTGGCACTATATTAGGATTTGCCAAATCATTATCACCTACTTATTTTGGTTTAATAGATCTTATGTTTTTTTTCACCACTACAATATGGAATCTAATTGATTTCTTGTCTATTTTTCACCATTTATAAAGCTTGACTATTTATTGTGTCAATATGGACAAATAGCAACAGCAAATCCAGAAAATTAACTTTGCAAAGAATACCAAATCACATGCAGGAAAATGTTTTTAAAAAAGTGTTTTTTCCTGCACATGATTGGATGATGGAAGTCAGAATATATTTACCTCATTCACTAAGCTAATGGAAAATTACCTGGGAAAGTGAACAGCCTATTTGCATTCAACCCCGCTGGGTCCCCTCCACCATTCCTTTTTCTGTGAATTACCTGTGAAATACCCAGTGCTTCCAGGTATAGGGAGCATATGACTTTCTCCTATAATACAGTGCTCTGGCCTATCACTTGGCTTGAACCTGTCATATGATGGTGTAGGTGACATCACTGCTTCCTCTGACACCAAACTGAAACTGGGTATTTTGGCAGCTGTGGCAGAGGAAGGAGCTGTGGGAGTTGATAGGAGAGTATAAAGTTGTTGGGGGAAATGGGGTTGCTTTACAAAGACCCATTACAAAGCCTGAATGAGCAAGTGTATTTCTAAACACTCTTCAACATTTTACTATAAAGTGTCCCCCCTCATGCACAGTGCAGCAAGGTACATCGGAGGAGGGCCCTATGAGTGCTTGACCCTCCTCATTTTACACTGTTGATAAGATTCAATATTAAACTATTATACTTTTAGTAAAAGTTGAGTTACTACATGAAACCTAAATTCCAGGCAAACAGCTAAATACACAGTTAAATTACACATATAAGAACTCTCTTATCTGCTAAAGGATTTTTAATCCTTTTTAGCAGGGGCGTAACTAGAAATCCCAGGGCCCCATAGTAAAATTTTGTAAGGGCAA